AAAGTCATCTTTGAGCTTGAGGCTAGTGATAACATCCCCGTCAATTGTTCTCTCTTTATTCAGCCATACAGGACTGTACTATCAGCCCGGCATGGACAAAGAGACGGCAGTGACCATTGGTCAAGCCCCCCAGGAGGAGGAAGAGCAGGAGGAAGAGTCTTCCTTTTTTTCCCGTTTGTCCAAGGATCTGGTGAAGGGCCAGGTCAAGAAAAAGTCGGATGTGGCTTCGTCTTTGACCAAGATGTTCCCGGGACTGGCCACAGAGTTTTCTGGGGAGTCGTCACTAGAGGAAAGCATGAAAACTACAGCCTTTGTGGTCAGTGTCTCTTCTTTTATTTCTTTACAATGTACTTTTTGGTCAGTGTCTGTCTTTTCATTTCTCCGTGGTGTACGTTATGGCTAGTGTCTCTTCGTTATTTCTTTATGGTGTAATTTATGGTCAATATTTCTTCTTTATTTCTTTATGGTGTACTCTATAGTGAATGTCTCTTCCTTATTTCTTTATGATGTACTTAATGTCAGAAACTGGTCAAAATCAGGAATTGTTTGATACATGGATGCTTTCAGAATAGCTGATACCTCCCCGCCCTCCCTTTTTCTTCCACCATAGCCAGCAGTTTCAGTCCTATAGCCACTGACTCTAAGACCCCGAAAATAGGTCAATCTTCTGTATCTTGCCTTCTCCGCTAAGCCATAAAATGATTAGTTCCATGGTTCCTGTAGTCAGTATATGATCAGCTCCACCACTTGTCTCACGCCCCCTCCCCTCTTCCATGCTGATTTGTGTTACAGAAAGAGTGTGGCAAGACCCTGCGGTTTGACCAGGGCGACACTGTGACGATAAGGCTGGACCCCATCAAGGTACTACGTGTGTTTGTGTGTGGGTCATGGAGTTGTCCCTGAAAGTGGCTTATGTTTTGTATGTTTTGTTGCATATGTTTGTTGCATATTTTTGTTGCATTTGTTTGTTGTATATGTTTGTTGTATAATATATGTTTGTTGTATAATATGTTTGTTGTATAATATGTTTGTTGTATAATATGTTTGTTGTATAATACGTGTGAAGCATCCTGTTAAAGGGTTATGAGTTGTCCCTGAAAAGTGTCTCTCGTTTTGTATGTTTGTTGTATATGTTTGTTATGTATGTGTAAAGCATCCTGTTATAATGTTATGAGTTGTCCGTAAAAGTGTATCTTGTTTTGTATATGTTTGTTGTATACCTGTGAAGCATCCTGTTAAAGTACAATACAGTTATAGGTCAGTTTGGCTGTATCAAATATTTTTTTCCTATAACCGATGTTTAGGTTTGGGATTTATTATCTTTCTGTGGCTTGTGTTAGCCCATATTTTGGGGCAATTTGGAAGCCCTTCCTTGGACTACAGCCACATTTGTGAGGCCGAGGATGTATTTCAAGGCTATATGAAGAATGTTCAGTTTTGTTTGGGGGGAGGGGGGGGGGTTGTTTTTGTGCTAATATTGTGTTAGCGTATAGCAACCTTGGCTTGCCTTTGAAATCAAATTTTTGTCCTAGTTATAAGTGATAGTAGCATTGTATGGGTTTCTTATTTATTTTATTCAGTTCAGCGTTGTGTTTCTGTCTTTGTGATAGTTATATAGTATTATATTAGCCCATTCCCACTTTCCCCAAGCCTAGTTCTTGCATTCATCTAGTATAATATACTTGAAGTTGTAACCAAATTTTCACTATGAATATTAGTCAAAAATTGTCATATTTATGTATTACTTATTTGATAATTCTTTTTTAAATCCTTTTTCTCGCCATTCCCCAGAGAGAGGTGATGATGGAGGAGGAGGTGGACGAGGAAATGTCTCTTGAGACCACGCCCGAATACCACACTTGTATCTGCCGTGGAGCCACGGTTTGGCACGACACAGGCATTGTCGCGTGAGTCACACAGTTTTTCTACTCTTTGTGATAGATTGATAAATTTTTTTTTCTTCATTTTTTTTTTATTTAAAAAAATCATTTTTTGGGGGGGTGGGAAGGGAAGCTCATCTAAGTTAACTCTATGATTTTTTTTAAATGTGGATAAAATATTCTCTTATCAAATTAGTTTTAGTAAGAATTTTTTCAGCACTTGCAACACAAATATGTCACATAAAAGTGCCGAAGATTAGAGCTGTTACTGATGAAAAGCTTACAAAGAAAAGAAGAAAAGGAGATATGATTAGGATGGCAGATGTAAATAAGAAAAAAGGAGCAAACCTCCACCAGAGTACCCGCCAACCACCCACAATTTTTTATCAATAGCATGGATTGCAAAGTAACTAAGTTTGAATCCTAAAGAAGTGTTGATGAAAAATAAGAGAATAGATCGAGAAGGATATATACAAGTAGCACAAGACTGTCACTTGTGTGAAAATACCGTTTGATGAGAAATACTTTTGAAGTTAATTTTGGAAGGAGTATTTTCTTTCTTCTTCTTGATGGCATCGCCCTTGAAGTCCGGTACCTATCAGATACTGGACTTTTCAGCTGAGATCTTCTGTTGGCCCATATAGCTTCTTCTAGAGTGTGTTAATTAATGGGGTTGGCCACGTTAATTGATGGAGTTGGCCACGTTAATGGAGTTGGCCACGTTTCTTGTCTCGGGGGCTCTGTGTGTCACGCACTGCTAGAGGTGTGTGCGTGTGTATTTGTATGTGTGTGTGGGTGTGTATGTGTATCGGTGTTTGTGTGTGTGTTTGTGTGTGTGTGTGTGTGCGCGCACGTGTGTGCGTGTGTGTGTGTTTGTGTATGGTTCCTGTCTCACGGCTGTGTGTCCAGCATTTTGGTGATTGTACTAGTTCAAAACATCTGTATGATGCGTTGTCCCAGTCTTGTGTGTTGTTCTCTTTGCCTTTAAAAAAAAAAAGAACTCAAATTTGTTATTCTGACTACATTCGTGTCACATTATTTATGTGTTCGCAGATACACCAGCCCCATCGCGTCGACTCCAGTGGCTCAGTTTGTCAGCGCCCAACCTCTCACACCCGAGTGCAACTCCTTCTCCTTTGGTGAGTGGACAACGTTTCTGTAGTGGTTTTTCTGGTTACGCTATTTTTAAATCAGAATTTAATGAGAGATAGAGAAACAGACAGACAGACGGACGGACAGACAGACAGACAGACAGACAGACAGACAGACAGACAAACAAACTGGCAGAGAGAGAGAGAGAGCGAGAGAAAGAGACAGACCGACAGGCAGAGACAGAGAGAGAGAGAAAGAAAGAAAGAAAGAAAGAGAGAGGAGACACAAAGAGATGAAGTTTAAAAAGAGAGCAACTTTAATGTTTTCCAATATACCAAAATCTCACGGGCTGCTGGATTGACAGCAGCATCAGTATCAACAACAACAACAACAACAACAACAACAGCAGCAGCAATAACAGCAACAGAATTGTATTATCACTACACATGTGTTCTTCATCTTTTCCAGAGATTATCAATTTTGGCAAAAGTGGGTACATCGCCATCGGGGTTTGCCCCAGGAGGTACGCTCCAAACCGTCAGCCCGGATGGGACCCGTCCTCTGTGGGCTATCATGCTGATGATGGCGGGTAGGAAAGGCGTTGTTGTAGTTTTTGCTGATGCCTAACTGAGCTTTCTGGTCTGCAGAAATTGTTTTTGTTGGTCATTTTATCCCTAGGTTTATATTCATCATCGTCATTGACTTCATCATCATCATCATCATCGTCATCATCATCATCATCACCGCCACACCATCATTATTGTAAAATATTAAAAGAAAAACAAAAAGTAGATGGAGACTTGGGTATTTTTTAACTTTTATGACATTTTTGAAGTATAGAAAAATATAGAAATCATCATCATCATCAGCAGCAGCATTATTATTTCATTTTTATTATCAATTTTTTGTAAAAATAGCCTTGAGTACCTTGAATATAGTCCAGGGAAATTTTTCAAACAATTTGATGTAAGTGACTGCGATAGAATTATCTGTTTGTTCTGAAACAGCTGGGGGGGTTTCTGTGTCGACAACCTCAAGAGGGATCGTGAAAAGGTACAGAGAAAGGGCACATAAAAGGATGTCTTTTGGGTTTTGGGCTTTGGGTTTTGGGATGGTCACCCCAAGAATCATTATGAGCCTGGTCAAGAGATTAAAAGCCATTATCATCCTCTTCACCATCTATTATATTCATCATCATTATAACTATCACCATCATAATAATTATTGTCTTTTTTATGGGGTAACCAAACGATGAATCTTGATCGTTGTCGCAGAAAATTCTATCTCTTAAATAATCGTTATCCGATCAATGTTAATAAGGTAGATCATTTTTATAGTGCTTACTCTCGTATGCACACACAGTTTCTGACGGTTTACATAAGTCCTAGTGCGAAGAACAATAATACTGGTGGGCTTGAATCAGTTTCAACATGCTACTATGTACAACTTGTCAAATGTGGGTGTTTGGCAGGTGCTCTGGTGTAGTGGGCTCCTTCTTTTCTATAAAAAATCCATCCTCCTTATCTCTCCTCCTTTTTTGTGTGTGTGTTTGTTACTCTCTTGTAACACCTATGATCTTCATGATCTTCAGCACTTATGTGGTCGCTTTTAAGGACAAGTGGGCTAACCCAGATTTCGAGGATTTCCAGAAATCTTGACCTACACCAAAAGTAGGCATTGCCCTACTTGATGGAGAAGTTTGGTTTTATTGGTGTGTATATTTGTTTGTTTATAGAGGACATTCTCCTTGTCTTTCAAGGAAACTGAACAAGGGGCAAAAATTTTACTTTCCATTTTCACAAAATATAATTTTTCGGGATAGCCCCCTTGTCCTTAAAGGCTGCCATATGACGTAATTGTTTTGCAAATTCTGTAAAACACTTACTAAAACACAAAACAACTCGACAAATGTGGTGTTTTCCAGAATCTACATAGGCAGTGGCTGGGCTAACAAGAGGCTGGAGAAGTGTAAGAAAGGCGACATCATGAAGGTCCAGCTTGACTTCCAGAAAATGACCCTCTCTTTCTGGAGAAATGGTAATCAGGTGAGCTCCATTTTCAAAAAATCAAAAGTAACTGCTTTTTGTCTCCGGCAAGCAGCTCGTGGTCAGAACTGATGTGCTGGAATGCGGCCCAGGCACATTCCTTTTGACAACTTCAACATCAAATCACTTTTCGGCAATTGTCGAAAACAAGTCTCTTTTACCGGGAGATCATTTGTTAGATGAAAAACTATCGGAGTAGATTCACATTTTTTAATTTAACAACCAGTTTAGTGACATATGTGTCTATTTTTTATTTCATACCAAAATAGTGTCCCAGCATAGTGGGTTTACCCCCAACGGAGATAAAGAGTTTAGGTCTTTCGCAGCCTTGATAGTCGAAACACACTTTGTGCTGTTGAGGCTAGAGAGGTGAGCAGAGTAAGCTTAGTTTCCCGTTTGGACTTCTCTGTTGACATCCACCCCTTGGCGCTCATATGACCTTATGCAGTTGCGAGCGCCGGAAAACCTTACTAAAACTAATATTAATTTGGGGGTTTTATGCCAAGATTCAGATAAAAAAGTGGTGTGATACAGTTTCATCCTTGCAGTCATACAACGAGCAGTTGTGTGGGGTATCTTTGCAGATCCTATTTAGGTAGGAATTCAGTGGGATATTTTGTAAGTGCCATAAAACTTTTACTAATAATAATAATAATAGATAGCATTTGTATAGCGCATATCCCCGCTCAGCAGCAGGCTCTATGCGCTTTACACTATATTATTACCCCAGCAGACCATAGAACACTCCGAAACATTCTCAGCTTCCCGGGAAGCATACAGTGCGAGCAGCCGATTAAGCGCTCAAACACCAACAAACTGACAAGATCTTTCGATGTCTATAGCCGGGTATCCATTCCCGCCTGGGTGAAGTGAGGAAAATTCGTGTAAAGTGCCTTTCCCAAGGACACAACGTCGTCGGACCCTTGACGGGATTCGAACCCACGACCTTACGGTTGCGAGTCCGAGAGCCTAACCACTAGGTCACCGACGCCACGTAAAACTAAACTTCAAAAATCACTTGATTGTTATCTTATGTCTCTGTGTGTGTGTGCAGGTCTTCAGTACCAAAAGGTCTAGCGTGGCCAATGTCCATGCAGCGATCGGCTTGCACTCGATCGGGGAGGCTGTCAGGTTGCTGGAGAAAAACCCATGGAGGATGAAGGAGGATGAGGAGGTAAGGAGAGAGATTGAGGGAGGTAAGAAGAGAGATTGAGGGAGGGAGAGAGAGAGGGAGGGAGGAAGGGGGAGAGAGAGAGAGAGAGAGAGAGAGAGAGAGAGAGAGGGAGGAAGGGAGAGAAGGAGGAAGGGAGAGAGAGAGAGAGAAAGAGAGGGGGGGGGGGAGAGAGAGAGAACTGGCTTCTGTATATTGTACATTTAATCAATAGCAGTGGAGAGAGAGAAAGAGAGAGAGAGGAGGGGTAAAGAGAGTCAGAGAGATGAGAGGGGGAGAGGGAGAGAGAGTAAGGTGATGAAGGAGAGATAGGATGGGGAGAAGGAGAGAGAGAGAGAGAGAGAGGGGATAGGGGAAAGAGAAGGTAGGAAGAGAGAAAGAGAGAGGAGGGGGGGATAGAAAGAGAGAGGGAGATGAAAAGGAAAGGAAAAGAAAGATAAGAGGATAAAAGAGAAAGAGGATGAGAGAGAGGATGAGGGGAAAAAAAAGATAGGAAGAGAGAACAAGAGAGGAGGAGAGAGAGAGAGAGAGAGAGAGAGAAGAGAGAGAGAGAGAGAGAGAGAGAGAGAGGGGGGGGGGGAGGGAGGAGACGGACATGGACAGAAAAAAATAGAATGGAATGAAGAAGATGAGTGGATAGTTAGCAATAAAAAAGATAGGTGGGTTGGGGGGGGAGAGAAAGAATTCAAAGTGGGTAAAGAGAAGGAAAGAAAGACAGACAGACAGAGACAGTGGAATAATAAAGGATAAGAGAGAAGGAGAGATAGTGAGAAGGGGATGGGAGAGATGCAGACAGAAAAACATGGGACAGACAGAGAGAGATGGCAGATTTGCCTATCTACTTTTCCACACAACCGTTGTAAGAAATAGTCATAACCTTACACGTCAGAAGTTTTTAAAAATATTTTTTTCAGTCGTTGAAATGTGAAATTACGTTGCTCTGCCTTTTGACAGCAGTCTTTTAAAGATATAGACACAAAGTGCCGTTCTATGTAATATGAAATAAGACAGAAATAGAGTTTCTTCCTTTTCTTCTCCCCAGATGGAGCTGCCAGCTGCGTTTGATGCGTACAAATATGGCAACATGTACATCAGGTTAGACAACTTTATAATCTATCTTTATTTGTTATGAAGCTCGAACATAACCTGATATGGGGTGCACACTACGGATAGGATGGGGCCGATCGCACGACTTGGTCGCCTCAAAAACAAGCGTTCTTGTTTTCAGTTTCAGACGACCGAGTCGGGCGATCGGCCCGATTCAGCTGTAGTGGGCACCCCGTATGACGGACCAGAGAAGACCCCTCAGCATGTGCTACTGTTTACCCCTTAGCACGCAGAATTGTCTGAAAAGCAAGCAACATCTCACTGCACACCAAGATTTGACTCTTTAATTCCAATGTCGAGTCTGTGCTACTCTACATCTGCGAAACTTGGAAAACAACAAAGACAGTGCTGAATAAAGTCCAGACTTTCATCAACAGATGTATGAGGAGTATCCTAAGAATTAAGTGGCAGGATAGAATAAGAAATGAAGAGCTGTGGGAAAGGACAGGACAAAAGGATATAGAAGTAGAAATAGGATTAAGAAAGTGGCATTGGATAGGACACACCTTCAGAAAGTCCAGCGGAAACCTCACAAGACAGTCACTGCAATGGAACCCACAGGGAGCTCGAGGCAAGAATGGCCCAGGATAGAGATAAATGGAAGGAGCTTGTATGTGGCTTATACCCTACCAGGGGTGAAAGGCATTGATGATGATGACACGGAATTGTTACCTCAGCATGGATTGACAGTACCTTTTTGTGCAATAAGAACAGGCTTCAGTATGTTATAAATTTAATCAAAAGCAGTGGAAGGTTGACCTTTCTCTTGTAAATCTGTGTCTGTTTTAGAGAAATCGGTAAATACCTTATCATCATCATCATCCAGTGCCAGATCCGTGGCAGACATCCGCAGTCATGGTTCTCCATTCATTCCTTTGCTCATATGCTCTCAAAAAAGTTATGTTTCCCTGATCTTTCCCCGTTATCCATTTGTGTAGCTTCAAACCTGTATGTTTCCATGACAGAATAGATTGTTGCATATCTGTTGTTGTTGTTGTTGTTGTGGTTGTTGTTGTGGTTGTTATTGTTGCTGTGTCACATAACTCACTAACTCAGAATTACAAAATTCTATCTGCTCAGTACCTAGTTTTGAGAAATTTAACATCAAAGATTTTGGGTTTCACATCAAGTCAAGCTTTTTCGAATGAAATTTTCTTTGAATATCTTTTTAGCAACTCCGAATAATCTTACCATTTTGATAGAGCAGATAGATAGTTTGGTTTCTGTCCTCATGGTCTTAGTAAGTCAATACAGCCAAAAATGTCAGATAGAACTATGTAATTCTGTGGTAGAGAACTGTGGCATTGTGCCTTTTTGCCAGACTAATAATAGTAGATGGATTTGCATAATGCAGATTTCCCACTCAATAACAAGCTCTATACTATGCTTTACAATCTATATAATTACCCCAGCAGTACTGAATAGCATTCTGAAACAATCTTGGAATGGGTGGTTGGCGAGTGCTCTGGTGTGGTTTGCTTCTTCTTTCCTATCAAACATCTATCGTCCTTATCTCCCCTTCTTTTTTTTTATGTTTGTTACTCTCCTGCCACAGCTCTAACCTTCTGGCGCTCATATGACCTTATGCAGTTGCGAGCACTGTAAAACCTCTACTAAAACCGAACAACTTCCTGGGAAGCGTACAGTGCAAGCTGCCATTTTTATAATATTCCTTAAAACACTTAACTACCAGATCCATCTCTTTCTTCCGCAGCCCTGGCCGCACGCTGTCTCTAGAGACAAGCCACAACACGCTGTCCAGTTGGCTCATGCTGTATAACCCAAGCCGCAACGTCATCGGCTACAAGGTCAGTATGACTGGGGACTGGGGTAACAATATCTGTCCCCTTCGTTTTATCCAAGAAAAATTCTGAAATTATGCAAACTGAGCCCAAACATGTGAAATTATGCGATACTGTTAATTTTAACGAAGAATGATCAGGGAAAATATTCAGAAATTGTGCGAAAAATGATCAAATTTTGCTAAATCATGCGGGGTGCATAAAACCACTGGGACAGCAATATATAGTGTAAGGCGCATTTAGCTGGCTGTAGAGCAGGGTTATGCACTCTGCAAATGCTATTTATTATTGTTATTATTATTATTTATTATTATTATTATTATGACCGTGCAGGTTGTAGGAACATGTGGGAGTTTTTTAACTCACCCTGCCCTAACGCTGACAGTATCGGTATGGAAAATTTTGCCCTCATGACCAAAAACACTGCTTTTGTGTGAAGCAGACTATAGCCTATTTGGAGGAGTTGTGGCGACTAACATTTTTCGTTTGAAACAGACTATGACCAGAAGTGCAAGCCAAATAAGTGGGTCAGTAGACAAAAGAAAGTCATATGATTTGTATCGGCCTATGACAGTTGTGAATGCTAATTACCGACGTCTGTTCAATTCAGATATTTCCTACGGAAACTCAGCACAAAGCAGACATCTTGGGACCTGGCAAGTGTATGGCTTGCAGACTCACCTACAAGGCTGCCATCAGTATGTGGAGTGTTTTTTTATATGGCATGTTCTTGTGTGTAATGTGATGAACGTAAATGTTGTTTTATATGGCACGTTCTTAAATGTAAGCTACATGAATGTTGTTTTCTGTGACATGTTCTTGTGTGTGATGTCATGTATGTGAGTGTTGTTTCATGTGACATTTTTTGTGTGTAATGTAATGTATGTGAATGTTGTTTTATAGGACATGTTAAGGTGTTCCGTTAGCTCAGTTAGTATAATGCTGGACTATGGCTCAGATGGCCTTGGTTGAAATCACAGACTGAGCGTTCTTGGACTCGGGTCATTTTGTGAAGTTTTCAAGGCTCTCAACCCATTTGGCTCAGTCCCATCAGAGACAGATGTAAACTTGAAGGACCCACCTCTTAAATAACCTAATAATTAAATAATAGCGTTGATGGGGGGTATTAAACCCTTACATATACTTCTTATTGCTATGGTGTGTTGTTGTGTGTGATGTGTTGTTGTATGTGATGTGGTATTGTTAATGAAATGTTGTAGGCCTGTGTTGAATGTTGTTTTATCTGCTATGTTGTTGTGCATGTATCAGTTGTCTTGTTGTGTGTGGAGGGTTTTTTTTACGTGATATGTGATGTGTTGTATATGTTGTTTTGTATGTGAACTGTTGCTTGATATGGCATGTTCTTGCATGTCATTTGTTGTACGTGGGGTGTTGTTTTACATGACGGGCTGTTGTGCCTGATATGTTGCATCCTAAAAAAAGTTGTTTTACATGACGGGCTGTTGTGCCTGATATGTTGCATCCTAAAAAAAGTTGTTTTACATGACGGGCTGTTGTGTGTGATATGTTGCATCCTAAAACTAAAAAAAGTTGTTTTACATGACGGGCTGTTGTGCGTGATATGGTGCATCCTAAAAAAAGTTGTTCTTTGCTGTTGTACGTTGCTTGTTGTTTCTAAAGGGAATGTTGTGCGTTTGTTGTATGTGGTATGTTGTTGCACGTGTCATGATTTAGCATTGTGACATATTGTTAAAAGTGAAATGTTGTCACCCTGTTTTGTTGTAAATGCTGATTGTTTCCCTTGTTCGTGCTGTGTATTCTTTTTTTTACCTCTGTGTGAACCTGTTTTTTCCGCTTGCGTTTGTTAACTTTTTATATCGCTTCAGCAAGAGAAGAATCCTTCAAAGCTTTGGAGAATGGAATATGTTTAACCTGTCAGTCTATATATCTGACAACAGTCCGGCAAAGAAGTTACTTGAATTTGATTATCAAAAACTGTATGACTTGCAGGAAAAGAAGTAAGGTAAAATTGCTACACTTTCTGCCCACAATGAGAACTTGTCTGTAAACTGAGCCTGTTTTCTCTATACTGAGTAAAGGGTTATAATGGCTCGGCTTTAAACAGTGACGTGAAATCTTTCTTTATATGAATAACTTTCATTTTACAGGTGGGTTGTTGGCACGTGCTCTGGAGTGGCTCGCTCTTTCTTTCCTATCAAACATCTATCGTCCTTATCTCTCCTCTTCTTTTGTGTTTGTTACTCTCTAGTAACACCTCTGATCTTTAGCTTTTATACGACCTTTTTGTGTTGCAAGCGCCATAAAAACTCCTACTAAAACTAAAGTAATTTTTAAGACAAACTGTGGGTGGTTGGCGGGTGCGCTTGTGTGGTTTGCTTCTTCTTTCCTATCAAACATCTATCATATCGTCTTTATCTCCCCTCCTTCTTTTTTGTGTTTGTTACTCTCTTGTAAAACCTCTAATCTTCTGCACTTATATGACCTTATTGTGTTGTTTTTGTTTTGAACACCTGCTCATAGGAAGTATCACAAAAAACTGCGTGTAGATCTTTTTTGATCTACTGGGGTATTAATATAGATTGTAAAGTGCATAGAGCTTGCTGTTGAACAAGGATGGGCGCAATTCATATGCTATTTATTACTACTATTATTATTGTTATTATTATTATTATTATTATTATTATTATTATTATCATCATCATCATCATCATCATCATCATTATCATTACTATTATTGTTTTTATTACTATCATCTTTATTATTATTATTATCATCATCATCATCATCATCATCATCATTATCGTTACTATTATTGTTATTATTACTATCATCATTATTATTGTTATTATTATAATCACATTATTATTATTATCATATTTTATTATTATTATCATCATCATTATTATTATCATTATTTTTATTACTATTATTATCATCATTATTAATATTATTATCCTTTTTAATATCATTATTTTTGTTATTATTATTAACATTATTATCATTATTATATCTCCAGTGCTATAAACTGTTGCTTGTCCTCCGCAGCCGATCTCAACGTCCACTGGTTCCTGTTGGAGTCGGACCGCGACTACACGAACGTGGACCTGGACATCCTCTACACCAGCACCACACCCGAGAGTTTGCTCAAGCACAGGTCAGACCCTCAGTTGTTGTTTTTTCTTTATGACCAGGTCAGACCCTCAGTTTTTTTCTTTATGACCAGGTCAGACCCTCAGTTTTTTTCTTTATGACCAGGTCAGACCCTTAGTTTTTTTCTTTATGACCAGGTCAGGCCCTCAGTTTTTCTTTATAACCAGGTAAGGCCCTCAGTTTTTCTTTATAACCAGGTCAGGAGCTCAGTTTTTCTTTATGACCAGCGTGGACCCTCAGTTTTTTCTTTATGACAAGGTCGAGGGCTTAAGCTACAAGAACAGTTATAAAATTGATGAATTTGTGAACCTTTGTTGGTATATTTATTTTTGTTTAAAGTGTTCTTTCTCTGAGCTTTTGTTGTTCATTGTTTCAGGAAGCAACATCCCTGCATTTCAGACATGTCCATTGATGCTCCGTTGCTCTCTCCAAAATGTCTCTGAGGGTCTTTCTACTGATTGTACCAGTGCATATATCTGGTTGAACGTTCTTCTCTTCTTTCCAGCTTTTGTTGTGCAACTCATCAATGTTTTCTTTAGCAAAGTTTTTAGCAGTAATTTTTTTTTTTCTTAAGTAAAGTTCTCTACATAATTTAGAAAGCTTTCAAGTCCTTAAGGTAAGGATAGATTTAGTAAGTTTGGTTTTCCTAATCAAATTGAGGAACTTCTCTTTTCACGAACTGACAGATTCTCAAATTACTTCTGTGTAGTTCCTTTCCATTATTATAGGGAATCGGAAGTAAAATTACGGGAAAACACATGTTTTTCTGAGTCCAAAACTATGGTTATATGCATGATGAATCTGTTGCTGTAAACAATGTGCTATTAATGTAGATCTGTCCGCTGGTAGGTCCGCTCTCACTATTTTGTAACTCAGTGAACATTCCCCACAGGTTGAAGGTCAAGGTGAAGGACCACCTCAAGTCAGATGCCAAAAAGTTGAAACTGGCCACAGAGGAGCCAGATGCCAATGTAAGTCTGACATTGGTGAAAATGGAATGGGTTTATCGCCCCTATAAAACTGTTAGGTTATTTAAAAAACGAGACCACCAAGTTTAACGTTCATCTCCGAAAGGACCGAGCTAAGTGGGAAATTGGTGTAAATTGTCTTTCCCCAAGGACACAACGTTGGGCCGAGCTGGGCTCGAACCCCTGAACCCGCAATCTCGCGATTACGAGTCTGGTAGCCTAACCACTAGACCACCGACGCCACCTGACAAACGTGGACAGCTGTGTGCCAATGGGTACGTCAGTGTCTATGGGTCTGTAGCATCTGTTAGCAAAAATCTATGAACCCTGAATTTAAATGAGCAGAGTGTGAGGAGGTCAAATATGATATTTTTAGAATGTATGAATCTGAATGCATGATGCTTGTGTTTTCCATGTGGATTTTATACTAATTCCATATAATTTGTCATATTTCTAGAACTTTTTTTTTTTTTTGGGGGGGGTTACAGTTTGCAATGCCTAAGTGGCCTAATGTCAGGACAGACATGGATGGGATTACTGAAGATGGCATTTTTCTGTCTAATTGTATAAAGTGTCTTCTTTTTGCTCACTCTGCTATAACAGATTGGTGGGCGCTTTAGTGTTGTCTGCCCTGTCTTCTTCTTTTCTCCAGCACTTTTCTTTTAATCTATTTGTGAGAACATGTAGCCATTTTTACATTGTCTAAAAAGGATGGTAAAATCCAATTCATCATCTTGCATGTATGATGAAAGAAACGGGATGACACTTGTGAAAGAGAAGACTGCGTTTATCACATTCCTTTTCTGGTCCATTTGTCAACGTTCCTTTTTGGATTAATAAATTTGTCTTTTCTTTTCTTTTCATTTTATCTGCAATGTAGTGGTTAAGCTCTTTGTCCTGTACATGCTGAAGAAGTGAGTTTTATTCTTTTGTGGGGAAAGATATATAGGCTGTTAATATAATGTTAAGCGCATACAGCTTGCTTATGAACGGGGGGGTATGCACTCTACAAATGCTATTTATTATTATTGTTAACAAATACCTCCCTCTGAATCATCCCACGTCAATCAAATTGGCCCTGACATTCGGAGTTAAATCTGTTATTACTTTGATTAATTTAAATGGCTGTATGATTGAGGGTGAAAAATAACTTGTCAGAATATTGTAACTGTTCTTTTCTTTTCTTCTTTTTTTCTTTGTATTCTACCTGTACCAGAGCTTATACTAGTAAGGGGTAGAGTGCTATTTTAATGCAATCTGTTGTTATTACTGTAGGATGCGTACCTGGCTGAGGTGTTCAAGAATGGCATCTGTGTGAAGAAATACTGGTTGGCCAAGGGGAACTACATCTGCAGCATCCCACTAGAATGCAACGTTTTGGTCCGCTACCCAAAGTTCCCTGTAAGTTGCTTGCTATATAGAGAACCGAAATTTAATTTTGGATTTTAGATTTTTTTTAAAAGATCTTGGCTAAGTAGTTGCCAAACAAATAGTGAGCAAACAAATATTTTTCTGTTTCCAAAGCTAGAGTTATAAGAATGATGAACCTTTTACTGTAAACAGTGGGCTAATGTAGATCTAGCTGCTATTAGGTACACTTTTGCTATTTAGTACTTTAGGGAAGTGGGAAAGTACAAGAATGATATCTGCACATGTGTGTGTGTCTTTGTGTGTATCTGTATGTGTGTGTGTGTGTCTGTGGGTGTGCGTGCGTGCATTTGTGTGTGTGTTCATGTGTGTGTGTGTGTGTGTATGTGTGTGTGTGCATAGACATGTGCATGTGTGTGTGTGTGAGAGAGAGGGGGAGAGAGAGATAGAGAGAGAGAGCGAGCGAGAGAGAGAGAGAGAGAGAGAGAAAGAGAGATGGTGTATAAGAATTCTTTATTGTCTCCACAGACTCTGAACCAACCCAACCAGTTTCAGAAGGGCATGAGAGTGATCCTGGACCTCACAGACACAGAGGAGTGAGTTGTTTTGTATATCACAGGTGTAGACTTAAAGACAGCACACATGTATCACACACATATATATATATATACAGAGACAATGCACTTTTGTGTCTTACATGTACGCACAGAGACAGCACACTTGTTTCTCACACATTTACACATAGAGACGACACAGGTGTGTCATACATTTATGCACAGAGACAGCACACTTGTGTGTTATATGTGTCCACTCAAAAACAACACATTTGTTTATGAAGTAGAAGATGGAGGAGGAGAAAAATATGAAGAAAAAAAAAGAAATCAAACAAGAAGAAATGTGTATTTTAGCAAGGGCTTGAAGGCTTTTCTTTCATTCACCATCTTTAATACAGGGAAGCTGTTTCACCAAAGGGAGTGGGACGGGATTCCAGTTATTTCTGCTATTTTCACTGACATCCATTTATTTTGTATCTATTATCTGAGGGGGCTTTTGTGGCCTAGAGGTTAAAGTGTTCGCCTCTCATTCAAAGGTCCTGGGTCCGAATCTGGACTGCGCTGAAAAAATTTCCTTCTCAAAATTGTTTTCTTTCACCTCCTTTCCTTTGCTCTAGAAATGTTCTGTCGTCTGCTTTCATCTTCACTTTCTGCCCCCACCCCCTCATCCCGTTTGCCCCCTCCTCTGGGCTCCTAACTTTTTCTGCAGCCTTTATACTGCTACTCCTTGGCTCCTTCTTACTGCTGCCTTTCAGTCACACCCCTGATCTTCTGGTAGGAAAGATCTACACCTAGTCTTATCGGATAAGAGCGAAAAATCTCAGGGGTCCCATGTGCACGTTGCGCTTGTTAAAGATCCTTTGGTGGTCTAAAATCAATAAGAGTAGGCTTCGGCCGCCACCCGGGCAAAATTCAAAATGTCCTACCAACTGAAAGTGTTGAATGTGTCCCGCGTGCTCATATGACCTTATACCATTGTGAGCGCTGTAAAACACCAAAAAAATTATTTCTCTGCAGAGACTTGTATGCTGAGGCCGTGATCGAAGAGGCCATGCCTGACGGACAGCTCAGACTGGAATATTCCCTGCCGGGGGACACAATTAACGCCTGTATGGAGACCTCAGTCACTGCACCGTTAATCAGCATCAAGGTGAGTATAGAGGGGAGACTACAGACGGACCTGCTCTTCTAATGGTCAACTGTATAGGACAATCACCTGTATAAACGACGGAGTTTCTTTCTACATAATAATAATAATAAAAAGGAGAACTACAATGGCTAAGGCTAGTTTCAATAAAATGAGCCCGATCCTGAAAAATAGAAACATCTCAATGAACACCAAAATGAAAGTCTTGAAATGCTATGTTTGGTCAACCCTTCTATATGGCTGTGAATGTTGGACAATCACTAAAGACAGTGAAAATAAAATAAAAGCAACAGAAATGTGGTTTCTTAGGAGACTGCTAAGAGTATCGTGGAAAGAAAAGAAATCAAGTGAGGTAGTGCTTGATGAAGCCCACGTGGGACGTTCAATGTTAAAAAGAAATCAGGAAATGACAAATGCAGTTTTTGGGACACCTGAATAAACAAAAGGTTCTTGAACATCAAGCTCTCACTGGCAAAATTGAGGGCAAGCGAGGCAGGGCTAGGCCCAGAACAACACACTTAGGGAACCTGAACAAATGGGTAACAGGGAAAGATCAGGGAAACATAGCTTTTTTGAGAGCATCCGAGCAAAGGAATGAATGGAAAACCATGATCGCCGATGTCTGTCACAGATCTGGCACTGGATGATGAATAATAATGATAATAATAATAGATAGCATTTGTATAGCACAAATCCCCGCTCAACAGCAAGCTCTATGCACTTCACATTCTATACTATTACCCCAGCAGACCAGAAAGCATTCTAAAACAATCTCAACTTCCTGGGAAGCATACAGTGCAAGCAGCCTTTTATAGGCGCTAAAACGTTAACATACTGACGAGATCTTTCGCTGTCTATTGCTGGGTACCCATTCCCGCCTGGGTGAAGTGAGGAAAATTCGTGTAAAGCCCCTTTTCTTAGGACACAACGTCGGGTCCGCTTCTCGAACCCCCGACCCTGCAACATTATAATGACACTGTGTAAAATGACTACCTGTCCAAGATGGCCGCTTTTCCTCTCGACAATGGGTTGCTGTCTCAGACAATTTCGATTGTATTTGAATTTGCTTCTTTTTTTGTCCCCTCCATTTGGTTTTATATATATATAAAGTGGGTGGGTTATGAAAGTATGGATGGTTGTAGGGAGCCACATTATCATACTCAAACGTTGCTTGCTAAATAATTAAGTGTGGCTGGAAGGGTCCAGATGAAGATCTCTTTTCTTTCCTTCCCTTGTGATCTAAGGCTGTGCTTTCTCAAACTGCTGTGACAAGAACTAGCGAGGGATATACATCAAACTTACCCTAACGGACACTTGTATAATACAATGTCATGTTCACACGACCGCTTTCTATTTCCTCCCTTGCTTTTTTCCTTTTTACCTTATAATGATACTCTTTAACTTTTTGTCTCCGGCTAACCGCTCCCAGCGGCTCACAGTCGGAATCGCTGTGCCAGTGAAGCTCGGGCACATTCCTTTACGACGACTTCGACATCCAATAACTTTTTGACAATTGCAGAAAATAGGTATCTCTTACCAGGAGTTCATTCATTAGATGAAGACCTATTAAAATAGGTTCACTTTTATATATTTAATGACCCATTTATTGATGTTTTAGTCATCTTTAGATTTAGTACCAAAAAAGTTCCTCGGCGTAGTGTGTTTACCCCCCATTAGAGATAAAGAGTTAAGGTGACCTCTTTTTCCTAGACAATGATTTGCTGTAAGGGTCAAGACTGATCTTTCTCTTCCTTCAGCAAATCAAGCACGAGAAAGTGGCGAAAGGAGAGGACCTGGATGACCCTGACAACAAGTTCATTCCTCCGCAAGAGGAGAAGGAAGTGGCCATCCTCAACATCAGTTCTTTCGAACCTCGAGGTCAGTCTGTGGGTCAACTCTGGTCGGGGAAAGTCTAGGTCTGACTTACTGAGTCCACTTGATCCAAGTTTCCCTTGTGGGTCGATTTAATTTAATCTTATCTTTTGTTGTCTTATCTTAAGTGTGCACGAGAGGGGGTGGGGTAAAGCCAGAATGCATCTCAGTTTTTTTCGCCGTGAATATGCACTCACTACTTCCATTTTATATATTTTCCTTTTATCTACTTACATTTTATACTTCTACTTTATTTATTTCCATTTTATCTACTTGTTCTTTACTTCCATTTTATCTACTTCCATTTTATTTATTTCCGTTTTATATACTTTCATTTTATGTGTTTTACATAAGCTGTTTGCGTAAGGACTGTGAGAAACTCTTCTATCATTCATAGTGAATAGGACCAGAATATTTTATTTGCTCTGCTTCCTGGATTAACTTCTGTCACAAAGATTTTATACAAACATCTGTTATGTAATTGTTAATCTCTTCAACTTGCACACAGCAGACATGGGTTCAATTTCCCTATGGGGAAAATATTATTTGAATATCTCTGTTTTTCCAGTGGGATGTAGTAACAACTATAGACAAGATGTGGTACTGAAAGGCAAGATGGAAACAGCCTGACTTTGAAATTGTCAAAGTGGTTTTAATTGTGGTGTAAAACATTTACAGTTATTTCCAGTCACGGCCTTGACTAAGAGAGCTTAGAGAAGCACAAAATGGGGTCATAAGTAACAATAACTATCTCAGCAGATCCTCTATGTCATATTTTGTTGTTCCAGGCAACATCGCCATCACCAAGAGGGCGTACATGTTCCCTCCCTCTCATCTCCTGACTGCGGTAAGTTGGCTCTTTTCTTCATGACAAATGTGCTTCCTTCGCTTTTTTTTTTTAAAGTGTTTTACGGCGCTTGCAACTGCATAAGTTCATTCTCTTTACCCAAACTAAAAACAAAAAATGTAAAGAAAAAATGAAAAAAAAGCAGGATTATTTTTCCAAGCTGGAACATATTGGGTGTGATCAATGAACTCGTAATGTGCAAAAGAAATGAAATGGAGAAATCATCTTTTTAAAGAGTTTATTTTACTTATTTTTGTTCCTGTCTTGGGCAGGCTGGACGTGAAGCTATTGCGGCCATGGACTCTGAGTGGAAGTCGAACTCGCTGCAGTCTGTGGCTCTGTGCAGAACAGTGCCCACTCGACTCACAGGTAAGTGTGTCTGTCCACCTGAAGGAACCCAGGTGTTTCCTGAGTGGTCCCTATGGTCAAATGGTCAGTGAATATTCGAGCATTGAAGGGGGGGTCACTCGGGTCTGACCACTTGCAAGACAGATGTGCTAAACTGCACTGACTAGGGATTATATACATTGTATTGATTGTGTTTTTGTTCAAATTGATTATAGTTTAAGACAGAAGGACCTAATTGTCCTCAAAGAAAAGGTTTATCACTTCTGATTACAGAAATGTTTATCACTGCTAATTACGGAATAGCTACAGATAAATAGAATTGTAGTGAAAATAATATATAGTAGATGTATATGTACAAGTACAAGTAAACTCTCTCTCTCTCTCTGTTTCTCTCACTCCCTCTCCCTTTCTCTCTCCTTCTCTCTCTCTCTCTCTCTCTCTCTCTCTCTCTCTCTCTCACTCTCTCACTCTCCCTCCCCCTCTCTCTTATATTCCATGAAAGTCAGTACTCTCAAAATCGCCAATCCCATGTCGAGAAGGACATTTTAAATCTAACAAATCTTAGCGAACGAAGATGCTGCTGTTTAACTGTCTTGGGGGTTTTTTTCTCCTCAGTCCAAGAGCTCCAAGTGAGTGCCCTGGTGGGTGGAGAGCAAGACTGGCTAAGCGGAGCCAACCCCAGCAAGAAATTTGACCTGGCCTTCGCCTTCCTACCCACCAACCTGGGCACTCAGCACCTGTGTTATCCCAGAATTCCCTCCATTTTCACATCAGTGGATGTGCACAGGCTTTGTTTTTTGGTTGGTGAGTACAGGAGTGGATTTTACTTTTGGTTGGTCAATATATATATATATTAGTTGGATTT